GCCCTCTCCATCTGGACCAGCACCATGCCACACCACCTATCCACCCACAGGCCCTGCCAGCGACCCCACTCTGGACAACACCTAATGCACAAGGACACCTTTCCAGCCTGGATAGGTAGCTATCACCCCCCACCGCCTCTTCAACCAAGGACTTGGACTCTGCTTCTCTTCCCTACCTGGGCCAATAACTTCATGAGGCTGTGTAGGGTGTTGTCTGTTTAATAAAACTGTTATTTGGACCCCTAAGTTGGGTTTTGCTTTACTATGGTTTGGCCCTGCTCCAATCTCTGCCCCTCTAATTTCTGTCTCATTTCTCCCTCTCCTGCTTCTGGCTCACTGCCACCTCCAACACCTGTCCTGAGCTCCTCTCTGCCTCCAACCCCCCTGTTTCTTTGCCACTGTCTTATCCCCACTTCCTTTTCCTTTTCCCCATGAGCAACCAGGTTTCTGCCTCTGTTTCTTTACTGGCTGTCTCCTCCTTGCCACCACTTATCTGCCCCCCTCTCCCCCGCCACAATATCTCAGCTGTCTGCCTCAGTTTCCAGCCCCAGTCTACCTTAAGTAAACCCAAGCTTCAGTTCCTCAGCCAGCTTCTCTGTAGTCCACTGGTTCTAATCCTGGTTCTGGCAACTTTTACTCCCTACACTTTAACTCTCTCTCTCACCTGAACCTTCCCCCAGGTACCCCAAGCACACGCATACACACTGTACCATCCAAGTTAGGAACTTACCTGTGTGTATGTGTAGGTGGGTTGTATGCGTGTGAACTGGTGAGTGCGTGTGTGTGTATATATATGTCATTGTGCGCATGATATATAAATCAGTAATCTGTGTCTAACTTTTGGGGTGTATAATGTATGTGCTTGAATTGGTGATAGGTATGTATGTGCCTAGGCTGGTTTGGATGTGTATGTGCCTAAGCTGGTAGAGAGAGAGAGAGAGAGAGTGTGAGTGTGTGTGTGTGTGTGTGCGCGCGCGCGCGCACCCGATTGATTTGTATGTTTGTATATGTGCAATTGTGTCACACCCTCCTGTCCAACAGTGCAATATTGAGATCCTGAGAGTTGGCCTGACCCCACAGGGCAACACAGTAAGTTACTAAAACCTGCAAGAATGTCAACCTTCTAGGGAAAAAGATAAAATATACATTTTCCACTGAGCACTAGACCACGATTAGAAGAATCCCGACATAGAAATAATATATACACAGGAGTTCTTGAACTGACTAGACTTATTGTGAGCAGTGGTACATTTTAGTTGTAATTGGAATTTTCAGATAGACATTTATTAAGGGGGAATCTAGAAATGATGAGCTATTTCTTTCTTTAAAAGGTCTGAAATGATGAATCAACAGATAATAATTTATCTAAATTATTTACATGTTAATGCTGATTAAACTAATAAAGCAGCTTTATGTTAGCGCTCAAATTAAGTCAGGCAATGTTAGGTGTGCCTTTATTAAGATGGAATATATAATACATTTATTATTAAGCCAGAACCATTAGATGAGATGTCACTCAGTGATTCTGTGAAATACATGCTTTTGTTAGTTTCCTTTCCTGGCTGGATACAGATATCTAGGGAGATTCGATTGAGTTACACATGGCCACCTGATTTAAGCTAAGTCAGGATGGGAAGGCTTGTGGGGGAGGTTGGAGGGACTGGGGAGTCTACAGGGGGGATTAGGGAGGGGCAAACAGGGTCTGCAGGGGCAGGTGGTAGTGTCTGGGTTTGGTGGGATCAGTGGGGCTCGTAGAGTTCGTGGAGAACTTGCAGGGCTCTCCCTCCCACCCTGGAGCTGTGCTGGGAACCATACAGAAGTTTGGGACAGATGGGTCTAAAAATGGCCATCCTGATAGACTACCTCGGAGGCAGGGTTAACTTAGATCAGATCAGCTCTTTTTTGACCAATTGAACTGTCCTGGAACTCCTGTATGGTATGCCCTTAGATCAACCTAACTAGGGATTTAAGTGTAAGGTTCGCACCTGGCTGAACTTAGATAGAGTGGCCATTTTTAACGTGATCTAACCTCCCCCTAATCTTCCCAAATGTCTATATATAATCTGCTGGTATCAGAAGAAAACTTAAATCAAACCTTAAAATACTATAATTTTGTCATTGAACACCTTCTACTTGGACTCTCATTTTCTATAACTTTAGTTGAAAATGATTTTTTTTTTGCTTGAGATGTATGCAAGAACACGTGGGCTGGGCTTAGCCTTTCCTCAAGTGTCTCAATATAAAAATTAATCTCTTGTGATATAAGAAAAGAAAGATATAAATATACTGAGCTGCTATAATGCTCTACTTGGAAAATTTAAAAACAAATCATGATATTTAAATCCCTCACTAAAGCAAGCAGTAGTTTTAGTCAGATTTTCCAAAGCAAATCCTTATACACTACCATGACACTTTTGTTATAAACCTTTGCATTTCATGGACCAAGATGTGACGGCTCCTTAGGCTACATTTGGCCCACAGACTGGAGGTTGAGCACCCCTGCTTTAGAGTTTTTAAAAGTGTGTTTTATGAGGACCTCTAATATCTATATAATGTTTCAAACTTGTTAACATTCAGCCAAACACCACACTGAAGTTTTCTAATTTTAGCAGTGAAAGTAATACTTAAGACATTTTCCCGCCCAGCTTTTAAGTATTAATCTCTTAAAAGACTTGTTAACAAGGCATTGGCGCACACTTCATTTTAATACCATTTCGTGAGTCTCAGGTGGGCACATCCAACAGACCTGTTTGGATTAAAAATCTTTTTTTATTTTTGAAGTCATGGATTCTTAAAAAAATTTTAAATGTACTTCTTAGAATAATGAATTTGTAGCATAATAAAAATGGGGTGAAGCTAGAATTGAGAGAAAATTCAGGTTTCTTCTGCATTTCTTAAAGGTGAGCTTTGCCCAAAGGTGGCTTTTACATCAAATAAAAAAAGCTAAACTATTCCTTTGCAGCTGGCAGACCCAAGTCCTGCTCCTAAGTTTCTAGCACTCTTGGTTTTTGATTGCAAAGGAAGTAATTTCCACAGCTCTTATACCTGTAGCCACTTTATCCCATTGCTTTCATTCATTTATAGCACAGACACACTTTTACTTTAAGAGATATGATTGCTATCTGAGATAAGTCACTTTAAAGTTTAGGTGTAAGACGTGGACCTCCAAAAACTGACTAAACACTAGAAAAAAAATAATCCAATACATCTTTTCCATCTCAAACAAAAGTGCACATTTTGAGATAAGGTTATTGTTAGGGAGTCTTGTGGTATAGAATCATAGAAAATTAGGGTTGGAAGGGAACTCAGGAGGTCATCTAGTCCAAACCCCTGCCCAAAGTAGGACCAGCCCCAGCTATATCATTCCAACCAAGGTTCATCTACCTGGGTCTTAAAAACCTCTAAGTTTGGAGATTCTACTACTTCTGTGGAAAACCTGTCCCAGTGCTTTACTACCCTCCAAATGAGAAAGTTTTTTCCTAATACCTTCCCTTGCTGAAACTTGAGACCATTGCTCGTTATTCTGTCATCTGCCACCACTGAGAACAATCTAGCTCCATCCTCTTTGTAGCCACCCTTCAGGTAGTTGAAGGCTGCTATTAAATCCCCTCCCAGTCTCTTCTCCAGACTAAATAAGCCCAGTTCCCTCAGTGTCTTCTCCAAAGTCATGTGCCCCAGCCCCCTAATAATTTTGTTGCCCTCTGCTGGACTTTCTACAATTTGTCTACGCTCTTTCTGTAGTGGGGGTCCAAAACTGGGCATGGCACTTCAGATATGGCCTCATCAGTGCTGAACAGAGGGGAAGAATCACTTCCCTCAATCTGCTGGAAACATTCCTACTAATGCAGCCCAGTACGCTATTAGCCTACAGCTGAATAGCCATACGTCTATTCAACTTATTGTCCACTGTAACCCCCAGGTCCTTTTCTTCAGAGCTGTCAGTCCCTGGTTTGGACCAATGCTTGGGATTTCCATCCTATGTGCAGAAATTTGCATTTGTCCTTATTGAACTTCACAAGGTTTCTCCTGGTCCAATCCTTCAATTTGTCTAGGTCTCTCTGAATCCTAGCCCTACCGTCCAGTGTATCTACTACTCGCCCCAGCTTGGCGGTATCAGCAAATTTGCTGAGGGTGCACTCCATCCCACCTCCCAGATTGTTGATGAAGATATTGAACAAAACTAGCCCCAGGACTGACAATTGATACCAGCTACCAACTAGACATCCAGCCATTGATTAGCACCCTTTGAGCCCGACGACCCAGCTAGTTTCCTACCCACGTTACAGTCCATATGAAAAATAAAACCACCTTGTTTCTTTAAGTTACAAGTCTGAAATATGGATCAAAAATATTTTTGAAATAACCATCTTTTGCTATTTAGTCAGATACTATTCTGTATATTTTGAAAACCTTGGTTTCAGGAAATATTGTTTGAATAGGATTAGGCCTCTTCTAGCTTTCTAGGAGAGGGTATGTTTTAAAATAAACTGAACATTATCTCCAAGGCTCTTTTCCAATTTGGAATTTATTTTTATTTCCCATTCATATCAGAAAACATTTTTTTTGGAAAAGTGGAACACTAAATACAACAATTAATCTTTAAAAGTTTAAGTCAGAAAAATGCAATTTTCCTGAATAAGATGCATGTGATATGATTTCAACCTGCTGGTTTCAATTTTTACTGTAAAATATTGCTGAAAAATAATCTGTTTAGTGCAACTCAGACCTGTCAAGCATTGTTTTCTCCTGCTTTGCTGAAATATTTACAGACATTAAATATCAATTGAGCCAATTCAACTTTTGCGTTGCAACTTGACAACGCTTGACTGGACACAGACTTCATTGCTGCCGATAGTTCAAATCCCTTCCAAGATTTAAAGCTTCACATTTTTCATCCAGTCAAACTGAAGATCAATGTCAAATGACAAAAACAAAGCTCCTTTAAATCAGATCCATACAGAAAGACACTGATCATCCAGATTGCTTGTCTTCTGGATGGCATAATGCCCTTATGGTTGACAATGTTCATATGCTGTGTATAGAAACAGCAATCTTTAAATTGATTTTCACAACATCTGTAGTTGCTCATATTTGTGGGGAAGGAACTGTCAGTAAACCAGTGGGCTTTATCTTGTTTATGCCTCCATCCAGAATGCAGACCCGTGGATACTTGTTTTTCACTAGATGAGCTGCAAACTGAAAAAAGAAAGGCATGTTATTAGTATGACACTATTATATTCCTTAAAATACTATTTTCCCCTGAGACACAAAAGTAGAGATCAAGGGGTTGTAAAAGCAGAAGTGTCAAACTGGTAGATCAAAATTCTCTTCATCTACAGGACATGCAACACACAGGCATTAACAGGGACATCTTCCTCTTCTAACACTACCAATATTTCTTAACATCCAGCAGAAAGGAAGCACCCTGCAGTACTGAGAAGGGATAAATAACATTCTCCAAATGCAGTTCTGCACTTTTTTGCTGAGGCTCCCAAATATAACAGGCAAGGAAGCAAACGTGGTAGCGTGGCAATATAAACACTTGCATGTCTATAGGAGTTTGACACCAAGAACTAGTGCCAGAGAAGACATATGTGTGGTTCTGGAGTTTACAGGTGAAAGGGTCTATATTCTTTTCAGTAATTTTCTAAATCTTTGATTCCTCTAGGAGGCTATATTTTGAAAATAAATATAAAATCTACATACAGAATTGGAGGGAACCACCTCCCCATTAGGCCAAGAACAGGACTGGTCTTCAGCCACACTGTGCTTTCACTTCCAAACACTGTTCTGTCTAGTACTCCCCTGCCAGCAAAATCAGAAGTTCAGACTTACTATATGGAGACTCCTAAAAAGCAGGCTGACAGAAGCACAACCTACTCAGTAGGGCTGTGGGAAATTTCGGCAGCCATTTCGTTCGGGCCTGTTTCAGTGCCCGAAACACCAAATCCGAAATGAAACAGAAGACTCCGAAACATCGCTGAAACAAAACAAAACCATCCGAAACTTTTTGGATGTTTCGGAGCCAGGCTTGCAGGAAAACAGAAACTAAGAAGAGGAAGGGGGAAGAGGGGTGGAAGGACTGCTCTGATATTGACATCTGTAGTTGGCCAGTCTCTGTGAGCTGTCCCTGAGGTCCCTTCCAATCGCAGTGCTCTGGGGGAGTAATGGCAGCCTGCGCACAGATCTGGGGCTCCCACGCCCTCTGGGAGAAGTTTGGCACAGCCCTGCAGCCCTCTTGGGGGGCACGGATCTGTGTGTGGGATGACAGCATGCTGCCGCTGTTGGCTGGGGCCAGCACCAGCACCAGCACCCAAGTGTGCTCGGCACACCCCGTACCGATCACAGCCGGGGGAAGTGCAGGCGAAGCCCCCATGGCTTCCCAGCCCAGCCTCCCAGCACTCAAAAACAAAACAAAACAAAACAACACAACACAAAACAAAACACCCCGCACTCACCGGCTGTAGCAAGGGCTCTGGGGCCACATGGCAGAGCCCCCTCATACAGCCCCCGCCATGGACAACTGGTGCCGCCTTAGTCAGGAGGGGCACATGCCCCCCAGTGACCAGTCAGCAATGGGAGGAGGAGGGGGGGTGTCCACCTGCGGCCAACGGACCCTCCCACTTCCCAGCCGGCACTGACGGGGGGGCATCGGTGTTCCTGCCTGCCCCCCCACATCCATCACCTGAGTAGGGAGCATGGCCTGTCAGGGGGTGCACCGGCACTCAGGGGGTGCATGTGCACCCTCTATGCATCGCCACTGGCTCCCACTCCCCGATCTCCACCCCCACCCAGCCCCACCTCTGATGCTCCCCCTCCCCACTTGGCTTCAGCATCCCAGCACTTAAAAAAGCCCCACACTCACTGGCTGCAGGAGCAGGGATTGGGACCTCTGGGTGCTCATGGCAGAGCTTCCCTGTGCAGCACAGGGTACCCATGCGGCAGATGCCCCATGGCGTGGGTGCAGCACTGTCTGGGAGCTGGGGCAGCTTCAGGAGTCAGCCGGAGCCTGGCACCGCTCAGCCCCAGTAGCCCCAGCTCCTAGACAGTGCGCGGTGCCCTGCCGAGCCACACTGCACGCATGCCATGGGGCAGCTACCATGTGGGTGCCAAGCAGGGGGACCAATCTGCACTGCCCCCCCCGCCACTGCCCCATGCTGCATGGGGGGAGGGCTCTGCCACCAGCCCTCAGAGGCCCTGATTGCCACTACTACAGCCAGTGAGTGCAGGCCTTTTAAAAAAAAAGTGCTGGGAGGCTGGGGCTGGGGCCAGGCAGGGCAGCCATGGGGGCCTTTCCTGTGGCTCTTCCCACCTGGGGAGAGAGAGGCACAGCCAGAGGAGCTGCGGGAGAACCTGCAGCTATCTGGCTGTGACTGCCTGTCCCCAGCCGATCTGAATCAGTGCCAAAACAGCGCTGAAACTCCGCAACAGATTTTGCCAAATCGAAACGGAGCAGTGATCTGAAACACTGAAATGAATCACTGTCTTCTGAAATGGCCGAATCCAACATCAAAACGAGACTTAGCTGTTTCACACAGCTGTACTACTCAGCTTTGTCAAATCAAAATTTAAAAAAATCTTCTCATGGGCAGACTAAACTATTTTCAAAATAAACTCACCCCTTCGAAACTCCCTGCCTCCCTGACCATATTTAAATATGTAAGCTAAACACAAGATTATCAATTTTATCATTGCAACCAAGTGCCAACAATACAATATGGTAAAAAGGCAATGTCCCTGTGTAGATCTATCATGTCCAGCATGTAACAGGCCCACAAAATAGCAGCAACCTTTTTATACATTACAGACACTGATTGCTCATTATCAAGTGGAAGTACTAGAGAGAAATGTTTGTTAACTTTGCAAAGCTGCTCTCCAGCTTCTTTCAGATATTTCCATCTTGCAGATGTATCCTTCCATATAGGTGATCTTCAGTTTGTTCAACAGTTGGAGTCTGCTCAATCAGGAAGACAATTTGCAGCCTTCAACTCTTCTCTGCCCACTCACTGCCTGTGCAATCCCTGTCATGAAGAGCAGTGTTTTATCCTAACATCTGGCTGAGAAATTGAATGTCATCTGGAAGACAGACAGCAGCCTCCCACCCTTTAAATTTAAAGACTGTACAATATTTAAGCTTCCTTCTTTCATTCTTTTTTAAATTATCTGTACTTCTCTTCCACAGCCCACAGGAGGTATAAAGTACCAAGAACTACTTTTGCGCAGACAACTAAATTACCAATGCTAGCAGAACAGATAAGTTTCCAGTCCAAGTACCACACTGTGAACTGAATTCAGTACTTTAAACAGTAGTTTGAAAGATGCTCTTTCTGGTCTACGGTAAAGGACTGTGACAATATAATAACAACTAAGGCTTTAAAAGATGTGTTAGTGTTACCTAAATCTACCTTAAGAATGAAAGGAAGGACATTTTGTTTAATGGAGATAGACAACCTTCATAGGAGCAAAGCATTAATCTACTTCCCTAGCTGGAATCATTTCCTTGCAATAAATATGTTTCAAGCTACTCTTGCTCAGGGCATTTTGTATGTGCATAACTCATTTCTGCACATCTGTATGTCAAACAAAGCTACTGAATTCCTTTCCAAGTATTTCAGGGTAAACTTCAATACAGAATGAGGATTCAGCATGTGATCCTGTGACCAAGAATACTTGCTCAAACAGAGTAAGGGGTCACAGCTGATCACAGTCAGGAAATTTCCAGTGTCATGTCTGTTGGAGGTATGGCCCTAGGGAAGGCCAAAGGCAAGTTCTGCTGGTGCTTGT